CCCCACATCCTTCCCCGTCTTAGCTCTCTCCGCCTCTCAACACGCCCCAACCAACCATCATCTGGGCTGCTCGTTGTCACGGCGACCTCTTTTGTCTTTGCAGAGTAAATGTCAAGAGGGGAGGGGATAATGCTGGACTTTGGATGGAGGGAGGGGGGGGAGGGCGACACACCCTGAAAGGCTGGACAGATGATCTGGCCTTGAAATCGCCGGCCTCTGCCCCCGTACGCTAGGACGGACGGAGGAGAGGTACGTTTGGGGTCCGGCCCCTTTCCCCCTGTGGCTGCGGGCGGGGGCCCGGCCAGCCAGCGCCGGGGCCCGGGGGCAGGGAGCCGCTGGCCAGGGGAAGCAGCTGACTCTGGTTCCCACACCTCCGCCCTAGCAGCCGGGGAGGAGCCTGGCCGCCCCAGGCGGGCGGAGCAGCCTATCCCGCAGCGAGCGGCGGAGGCAGGCGGCAGCGACTGCCCTAGGTCCCCTCGGCGCTCGCTCCCCGGCCGGCCAGGCGCCTCTCCGTCCTGTCCCCGCTGGCCGGCAGGCAGCGCGCTGCGCGGGGGTCGCCGCGGGTCCCGGCGGGGAAGGTAGGATCCGCTCGTTGGGGGGGGGGGGTGTCTCCCTCCAGCTGACCCGCGCTGGCTCTGCCCCCGCCCGAAACGGCCTTACAATGGAGCCCCCTCCCTCTAATCTGCAGCGCTGCTGGCCCGGGGGCTCCCGCGGGGAGCGGGCGTCGGAGCTGCCGGCTGGGGCACTGGGGGTGGCCTGGTGCTTGCGCTGCCGGGCCGGGGAGGAGAGACGTGCTGGTGAAAATGAACAGGCCTCTCCTCTCCCGGCGATGCAGGGGGTGTCCCTGGCTGGACAGTCATTGCAAACGTGTATCCGTCCTCCTCCCTTACTGGGTCCTTCCCCCCGAGCACTGCCCCGTTTGCCAGCCTGGGCAGCGTTTCCTTTGCTTTGCGAACCGGGGGCATGCAGCGTTGGCCTTGCTGAGCTCTTCCGTATCTTTCACCCCCTCCCCTGGTGTCAGTTTCACAAGGTCCTGAATTTTCTTGTAATGTCCCCTTGAGAAGGGAGGAGAAAACTGGTAGGCCCCTTTGAGGGAAGGCTGGTCACATGAGCTCTGTTCCCAGCTCCGGCACTGATCCGTGTTTTTAAGTCACATTGCTGCCATGGAGGGGTGGCTCCCAGAAATAGAGGCAAAGGTCTGTGGCCGTCAGGAATGGCCGGGATTTTAATGTAACTGGCTGTAATCACACAGGCCCCAATTCTCCTCTGTCACGCTGGTGTACATCCAGAGTAACCCTATTGACTTCTTCAGTGTTTCTGTGATGACTGCATAGTTCTTTCTTCCTATTCCAAGTGAAACAGATCTCCAAATGAGCAGGACTTCAAGTTATGAATGGGTGATCCTGCCACCTTTTCAGTGTACAACACAAATATAAAATATTGTAACTTTAAAAATATTGAGACTTTAACTCTGGGTTCTAGATGTTATATATGTTGTTAAATATTAAAAGCCGCTATGGATGCAGAGGTCTGCCTGCTCGGATCAGTGTGCAAGATTAGGCCTTTGTGTAGATATATTGTATGGGCAAGATATAATTTGCCTTAAATTAAAATAGGAAGATTTTCAAATATATATATTTTAATTATATAAATTTATATATCTTATATTATAATATATCAAATTATATCTTACCCATGCAGTATATCTACACAAAGGCCTAATCTTGCACACTGAGCCAAGCAGGCAGACCTCTGCATCCATATGGCATCTCTGTGACCGTAGCACAGCTCCACACAGCTGGACCCTTCTTAGGGTGACCAGATGTCCCGATTTTATAGGGGCAGTCCTGATTTGGGGAGCTTTTTCTTATATAGGCACTGATTACCCCCCCACCCCCTGTCCTGATTTTTCACACTTGCTATCTGGTCACCCTAACCCTTCTGCTCATATGTGGCCCCACTGAAGTCAGTGAGGCTATGCAGGGGCCTGCCTGCATGGATTAGCTTGCAGAATCATGGCCAAAGACTGCGTGTGTTTGCAGTAGCAGAAAGAGCTCTGCTGCTATCTCTGATGGTGACATGCAAGCAAACAAAACCCCCATGGGGAGTTCAAGGTTCCATGCAGGGGATGGGGAAAGAGACAATTAACGTTTAATAAAATCAGGGAAAGGAAAGAGTGTGCCGAGTACTGCTTTAAATATAACTTTTAATTCTTTATTGTTCATTATAAGCGATTCAGCCTTGTCTCTTACCACTCTGTGTTTGTAATAAGGTAGCGTGAGAGGTTCCAAATGAGATCACGGCTTTATTGTGTTAGGTCTGTATGTTCACATAGTACGAGTATGTCTGTCTGATGAAAAGCTTACAGTCTAAATAGCTAAGACAAAGGGTGAGAGGGAAACTGAGGCATAGAGAAGCAACCCAGCAGGTCAGTGGCAGAGCCAAGAATAGAGCCTGTATCTCCTGAGTCCCAGCCCAGTGCCTTATCCAGTGACTGGATCATGTTGCTTTTACACTAGAAACATTACTGCCCATGTTTAGAGTAACTACTTCTAGCAGGTTTCATGAAATGGTGGTAAAGCCGTATAATCCTTGGCATTGGTGCAGCTGCATCAGTGCCTTGCTGCCATAAAACAGTGCACTGCTTGCAGCTTTCCTGTTGATGGTCAAGGCTGTAGTGTAAACACAGAACAGACACTCTTGCCACCTTGTCGGCTAACCCTGCCTGGAATTTTCCTAGTGGAGACAATATGCCCGGATCCTGAGTTTGGAGGAGTGACATCTAAAGAGAGAGTCCCCGTCCCCATCCAGATTTTGGCTGTTTCATGAGGCTATGATTCATGTTAGATTTGAGAGAGAAGCATGAAGCTATCTGTGGAGTGGCAGTTGTACTCCGAGACCTCTGTCTCTGTGTTAACAACATAGAGCTGGTGCACGGGTCAGAGGAGGAAAGGTGAGGGAGAGTCTGACACCAGTGAGGAGCTCAGAGCTGTGCAAGACGCACAATGAAGAGTCCTTGTTTCGAAGGGCTTACTATTCGAATATGTCAATGTGATTTGAATTAGTACATCAAGGTCTCTGGGCTAGACCCCTCCCTGATGATAAGAGCCCTATTCTCTTCTACACTGTTCAAGTGAAGGACCACTTGAACATTTCTCTCTACTCTCTTTGGCTGAAAACAACTGAATTCTCTCATGGGTTGGTGCCTGTGGAATTGCTCAGGAGTGCTGAACTTCTAGTATTGTTAAGAGAGAATTTAGCATTCGTTATAGGGGAGGATGGGAAACACCCCCAGATTGCATCGCCCCAATCAGTGAACTAGCTGGGGTTCTGCCTCCCTGAACTTTAGGGTCCTTAATCACAATATGGGTTAGAGGAGATCTGCAAAGCCCCTGTACGTATCTAGCTCCCTACTCCGTGCAGTAGCCGGGCTCCTTCAGGCGACAATGTGTCTCTACTTGCTACTGTCTCACCAAGGGAGAGGTTTGCTTTGCAATGAGCCGCCCCAGGCAGGATAATGCCAACTCCCTCCCAAGCCAAAGACTATGAAAGCTTTTAGTTCTGGCTACTAGTCCTAGTTAGCACTCTGGCCCCTCCCCTGTTGACCATTCCCCTGAGCAATCCATTCCTCCCTTATATTTTAATAAGGTTTGTGGTAGGGGTAAAAGGCTGACACTTCCAAAAGAAGTGCATAAAAGCTCAAGAGAAAACAGTGTTTATATAAAGGCAGCACAGAGACCTTTGTCAAACAGCTGCTAATGCAGAAACCTGCCGTGGGATTTCACTAAATGACTGCTGTGGGTGGTTGTGGTGGTTTTGGGAGGCCAGAAGGCAGTAATCCACTTAAGGTAATTAAGGAGGGACAAAGTGGGGACTGACCCTCTTTGCTCCACTGCCTGAGACAGCAGAAGGCTGGGAAGGAATCTTCAGTCCCTTCTGCTCTGTCTGCCTGCGCTGGAGCCAAGTACATTTTCAGGGTCCCGCCCTCTGGTTTGGCCTCAAGGCACTGTTTGGATCAGAATCTCTCATCTATACACAAACAGCAAGGGAGTCCCAGCTTCCTACGCTCAGGACTCCAAAGGTGTTCCGACTCTGCCTCCACCTACCTGTCTGCACATCCCTTTGGATCACTCCCAAGCAGCTCAGATCGCAGGTGAAGACAGAGGACATGCAGGTGTGTGACTAAAGTAGCCCAATTGTGGGTCTGTCCCATGGAATGGGAGAGAAGTGAAAGAATGAAGGATTTACATTATCTTCTGATCACTCTTTCTCCCTCCCCCAATGCGTTGTTCTGTCCTGTGTTGAGGCCTAATCCCCCAACCTTTTCTGAAATAGATGAAAAAAGTGCTAGCTGCCGCACTTGTCTTTAACTCCTGCAGAGAGACGTGTGCACTCCTCACAGTGCAGACGCATACCTCCTCCCCTTAGCACGGATATGCAGAAAAACACACAGGTGGACTTCTACTTTATATAAAGAGGGGAGTTTGGTTAAAACTAGTCCATGCTACATATTAAACAATCAACTGCCTTGTGCCTGTTCATTAGAAAGGGACCAGTAGCAAGCTGATTCAGTGATTGGATTTAGGGCAAAGTTCAGAGCTGCTGCTGCTGCCATCTGGGTAAAAGGCATGGCTTTAATTTTCAGTGTTGCCATTCTTTTAATCTCTAAGAATATTTACCCCAGGAATGCAGGGATGTTTAATGTTACTTGCTTGGGACTTCTTTCCCTGTAACAAAGAAGGTAGTTACAGAATGTCTTTATTTTTAACAAGAACACTTGCTGCATAAGCAAAGTTACAGTGTTTCTTTAACTTTTATGCCTTGATCGGCATTTAGTTTTTTGAATTCATTAGCTCCTGTAAAACCAGCTTCTGTTCTAAGGGTTTTCTTTGAAAAGACCACAGATGGTATGTGTGTCTTGCATCTCTGAGTTATCAATCAAAACAAAAGCTAAACCACAGAAGCCTTTTGGGCCATTACTTATATAGTATCAATTTGTGTGTGCAGTGCAAGGAAGGATGGTGAGTGAATTAGCATGGGGAAGTGTGCACCTGGGAGGGGAGTGACTTGATGGAGTAGAAAGCAGATGTTCAGAGTCCCAGAGATTGGTCCACCACGGGACTTTCAGTGTCACTTTGCTAGCTCTGATCATGTTGGATAACAAGTTGAGTGAACTTCATAATAACACGTAACACTTGACAACCGCTCTCAAGTGGGAGGCACACACCTGTCCTCATCAAAGACTGGATTCACCTGCCTTGAGCTTCCTTTCTAGCAGAAAATTATACCATTGTCTGACAGCTCATCTAAGTTCCTGTGGCTGGAATTTTTTGAGACTACCTTGAGTTGATTGCTCACACTTTCAATCGCAGAATTTGCGCAAGAAACCCACAGATGTGAACTGCAATGGGATGTGGGATAAAATAACCCCCCTGCATATTTTAAGCAATAAGATGAGCTGATGTGTACAAACTAAAACAATAAGAAGTAGCCACCTAGTTGCTTGCAGAGTGCACTGAAAATGTAGTCCAGAGTGGCTCTGTATTATATTTATATTATTACATTGATGTTAAAGGGG